AACCGAACCTCCACCGGAGAATCTTAGCACCCCCTGCCCCGCCGTTACCATGGTCGCCACCGTAGCCAGGAATAGCGGGGCCGCCGGGGACTGGAGGCCGTCTCTTCGTTAATTTCATGGGGGCTATATTGCCATAGATGCCACGCTTGTCGAGCGGGTTGGCAACCGCAGTTTTTTTATTGTTGTTTTGCTGTTATCAGAAAGATGCTGCTACCCATCCTCTGCCTCAGTTTGACATCCACGGGAAGATATGGGGCCACTACATGGGAGAGGGGGGGAGTGTATTAACATTCTTCTCCTTTTGTAGCGGTTACGAGGAATTCACCAATGACATGGTATATGCGAAAAGGTTTAATTAAACACAAACTGCATAAAAAAGGGAAATTGACAATACAAGAAATGGTAACAACGAATATTATGTTATTTCGGTCAACTTATCTGCTGAATCACCTAAAACAAAAGACAGACAAGTGTCAACATTCATCCGAGAGAATGTCATGAAGATGGCAGTCCATATATTTTTTCAATTACTTTTTTGTTTTGTAATCTACAGTGAATCAATTAGAAAATAAACTAATCGCATAGTTCAAGTCTGTAGATATTGTAACGTTAATAACAATATGGCTTTGATGTCTCGCTAAAAGTATAAGAAGGATTTTATGTAGCGAAATTGAGGAATGGCCACTTATCGGGAGTAGAGCACTCACTCCCTCACTGTGAGGCTTGCAAAATGACTTTCAATAAGAATTACATACATGTGATGAATGATCTATATTGAATATAAATTATTCTATTCTATTCCATCTTAGTCTGCAGATGTGAGAACATATCTGTATTTTGATTCTTGTATATAGTCTATGGGGCACATGGAGCTTGTAACTCTTAATTATATTGGAAAAGTGTTAAAGTTACAGATAAAGTAAAAGCTGGCAGGGAATGTAAATTTACAGCGAGCGCTAAGCCCCTGACCTACCACGGCTCTCTGTCACGGAAGTGTTACAAAGTAAAAAAAAGAAAGTTGAGTAGAATTGAAAACCTCCTCCTATTTTGAAGTTACAGCGTACAGCTCTACTATCTCCAATACCTGTTGGATGTAAATGTACAAAGTAATAGGTTGTTTGATTTGCATAAAAACTAGTTGAGTGTTATCAGTTAGTGGCAGTTTCATGACGTTTAACATGTATGTATTCACATAAAGTGTTATATTTCACAAATTTATTATTTTGATATATATATATATATATATCAAAATAATAAATATAACTTTTTTACAAAGGGTTTCTACCACATTTAAATTTCAAACTAGTAATGTTCACGGAAACAGAAATGCAGTGCAAATATTAAGTAGCTCACAAGCTCTTTAAAACTTTAAATCCAATTATGTGCCATTCCTTAAGTGATGCGTGATATTATATCTTTGTTTTTACGTTTGAACTAAAAATATTTTTAATCCATAAATATGAAAAAAAAATCAGTTCATAAGAATTACCAAATATTAATAAGGAAGCTATTTTTTTAATGTGGTAGAGCCAAGCCAAGAATGGGTCGGCTCGACTGAGATAGGACCACATTTCACAGAATACCAGCTTAAGATAGAAGCTTAATGCTTCTGTGTTTCGTATGGTGAGTGTAGAGAACCGGAGGCCCTTTTTATAGGTAACGAGGCATTCCATCTTTGTCCTGAGGGGTGACAATGCATCTGCATTTTGATTCTTAATCGAGGACAAATGTAGATGTCTATGTGCCACAGCATCCACTTACCATCAGGTGAACTGTGTGCTCGTTTATCACCCTTATACTATAAAAAAAGAAAAAAATTGACTTGGTAGGACTCCTTTCCTGCCTAATCTATCTAAGAAGGTGTAACACTTACTTAATTAGTGACTAAGCAGCAGTGTATATACTCCTGTCTTCCAATTATTACAGTAATTACAGGCTGAGAGACATTCCAACGCTACAGGCATTCATAAGAGGTTTGAGTGGTAAGAAAGTCAATATAAATACAAGCTGCAAGGCATTTCATCATAGTCCTCAGTGACAACACATCTCTAGTATTCTTTGTTTAAAGTTGGTTGCAGGTGCCCTTGAGTTGCAGTAGCATGAGCAAGCAAATCTACTGTTAACTCACAAAATGACATATTTGTCAAACCAATCACGTACGTCACAAGAGAATATGCATACATATACCTGAAAAACATAACCCTCCTTCTGGGGTGGTTGGAAAAAAAGGGAGGTTGCTGATTCAAGTCAATATTTATTATCAAAATTGGCAAATGAATTTTTAAAAGCAAAAAAGAGCTGTCCTATTGCTTCAACAAGTCTCTACTGCAGGAGACCATGTGAGAAATGGCAAAAAAATCACAAGTATAGTATTTTTCCACAACAGTTACAATTTAACCCTATTAAATATAAGTATATATATATATATATATATATATATATATGTGTGTGTGTAAATCAAGGAATCTAAAATAAGCTCATAATGTCCTAGGAATCTTATCTTTTAAATGATCATCTAAATTTTGATAACCTTTATTCATTAGAATGTTTATGCCTTGAATTTATTATGCAAAAGCAAGTCTGTAAAATTACTGGAAATCTTGTTATTCCTACATCTATCCAAAAACGAGTCTAGTTTTAAGAAGCCTGTAGTTTGGAAAAACAATATTACATTTTTTTATGTATATTATAGTTAAGACTTGGCTGGACACAGGAAGTCGATGAATGCATGTGGCTCAGGTCCGTGCTTTGTGGCGTTCCTTGGGGTAGGCCTATGTTCAGCAGTGGACTTGTGAAGGGTTGCAATGATGGTGATGATGATTATTATAGTTATGGACATCACTCATTTTAGCAAAAATATTAAAATAGTTTACAACATAAATAATATTGTTTAGAATGATTCAAGCAACAGTAAATATATTTATTTGTTTAAAAAAAATTGCACAATATTAATAATTTTGTTAATTTCATTTCAGCCAAAATAAACCAACCTTACAGTACATCTATAAAAGTTAACAGCATAATTTTTTTAACTACACACAGTAGAACTAAGTCAAGGAGAAAAGACTTCAATATGAGTTGTATATGAGAGTTGATAGTGATACCATGGAAAGCTGTAAAATCTACCTGTTCAAATATTTGATTTCAATTTTATGATTAGTAATTTACCTTACATTTAGTAAAGCAAAATAAAAAAGTTATGGGTATTCTATTAGTTAGAATCTACTTCTTTTTTAAGGCAAAAGCATTTTTAAAGCATTCGGCTTATTTTATGTTAAGTGACTACATCTGCCAATGAACAAATGCAACATTAGAAGAATGGCAGGTGTGTTGCCAGTCTTTTTAAAAAAGTAGGCTCTTTTCTTGAAGGTCCTTAAGTTGTATCAGTCCAAAAAAATATCTGGTGCTAGCTGATTCTACAAATAAGTTGTGTGAGGAAGAAGACTTCAGGTAAATTGCACATTGATGGACCCCTAAGCATCCAGATGGTGTGGATGGTATCGCAAATTAAATATAATTACTGTGGTAACTGATTTCTTTTAGAGCTATTAATTTTCAGATTTGATATCATTACGTATGTTCAAGTTAAAAGTGAGTTTAAGTAAAATTAAGATTAATTTTAAATGTATATTTAGTTATTACAGTGATAAAAGAACAGAATCAAAATTCAGCTCCAATGATGCACGAAACAATGTGTTCTAGAAACTTTTATTTTTTATTTTAACAAAAGGATCCACATAGTTACACACTTACTTACAAATATAATTTACAAATCCAAAAAATAGGTACGTAAATGCATTGTTTTAGTAAATAAAATCAATATAAAAATTTAAATATAACTAATTTTATGGATTTTATCACATATATTAACTTATTTTATATTCCCGACGTTTTGGGTGCTTTCCAGCACCCGTGTTCACAGGGGGACTGAGGTGTTTGACAACCTGATGTCATAGTTAGCCCGGCTACCTTCAGTATTTTAATATTAATTTTTGGTTCGATTTACACAGAATGAGCTTACAGTGTCTTGAAGTCTAGCAGTAATATACTTAGGTTTGGATTTGATTTTATTATGGGATCCCAAGCAGATGGCAGCACCCATCCATCTTCTCTATTGAAATTAGGATGTTATAATTGGAATATAAAATAAGTTAATATACGCAATAAAATCTGTAAAATTAGTTTTATTTATTAAATGTGTAGTGTTCGTGTAAATATAAGAAATCAAAATATAAAAATTTTAAATACATAAAATATTTTATAATATTATCAAGGGAAATTAATTAAAATTTCAATAAATTAATATCTTCATATATATACCACTTGTTTTGATATTACATAAAGTGTACACCATCTAGTCTCCTAAAATATAAATTATATTAACCCTATAGTAAAATTATTAACTTTATGTCTAACATATTGATGTAAACATATGGTCTTAATTTTATCTAATTTATTTCTCAAAAAACTATAATTAGTGTAAGCCAAACGGTAAAACAAGTAATAAGGATGAGATAAAGGGACTCACTGCATTGAAATGGAAATTCCATTGTTAAGAAAAATAATTAAAACCAGCAGTGTTCAATTTTACACTTGTTATGCTTCACTGAAAATTGATGTAGGAAATTTTCATTTGCACCTATATTCACACTAGTTAGAGGTTTCAGTAATTCCTTAATGAATAAGAACAAGACTGAAGTTGAAGCAAATCAATAACAACTACAGATGTAATTATGAATAGAACAAAACATGATCAATGTCTTTTGAGCAATTTGGCCTGCTCCAAGGTAAAATTTACGTCGTAGGTACCTACATATTATGTTACATTTTACTTCGTTAACCGTTCCATTTGAAGCCAGATACCTGCGTAAAAGAGGCTGTATGTAAAATATAGGCAGTAAATGCTCTAAAAACTAACAATGTTTTTAAAATATATAATCATCAATAAAGGCTTATTATAATACGCAAACATGACTGTGTAGAACTATTAGAATTCTCACCTGGAAAATGGTTGAAAGAGACATCAAAGTCGCCGCGGCCGCTCAGGAGCGGCTGCGACTCACGGTTTAGGCCTGGAGAATCCACGTTGCCTTCGAACCCGACCTCTGGTACTAAACAAATGTCTTCCGCACTACTGGATAGAGATACCACGCCGTCATCAGGAGGCGTAACTGTTGTGCTTGGTTTGTCGAAATCGAGATTCAACAGAGTCTCTTCCGTACTCATTAGTAATGTTAAACAATGAATCTCCACCGAGCTTCATCTATTTCGCGTTGTAAAATTCTTTGTTTCAAAATCATTTACACAAACACTAATTCATTCAACTGGGTTCACATCATAATCATAGAGAATAGAACAAATTAAGTGACAGTTGACTTGACTGACAGATGACAGTGGCAGTGGAGTGGAAAAGATTTTTTAAGAATTTGCCTTCGATGCTCGTTCTTTAAGCCATGTCTTGAATTATCTCAGTATCAAGTGATAATAATACTATATAGGTAGTACACTGCTTCATAATGTGTTGATGCGTTACATTGCGTAGTTTTTGAAGATTTTGACGGCAACTTGAGCCATTAAACAGGTGGCAATAATATATCGAGGCGCCTAAGCAGACAGACACCTTATCTTGGGATTCACCTCACCATCGGAGCCCTTGTTTCACTGTGTCCACTAATAGTTCACATGCGCAGACATATAATACACAAAATCGCACCACTTTTACGTATCAAAATCCACTTCAACCTATTATTTAAACCATAAATAAATACAAGAGCTGTAATCCATCGCCGCGCCAGTCAAGTTCCCGCTAAAACTCGCAGTGGAAATGACAAAAGCGAAAATTACATATACACAGCACTAGATAAATTACAAAAAAAAGTGATACTTCTAAATGTCACAGCGTGCTGCAAGCTGCGAGAATTTGGCATTTTAAAACGAAGCGCCGTAGTGAAAGGATCTTTGTTACCTAACTTGTTCTTATTATTTATATTCGTATTTTTTTTAAATAATCAAAAGAGTAAAATAGTATTCTATGTTATGATTAAAATAGAAAAACATTTTTTAACAAATACAGTAAAATTATTAAAATAAAAGCAAAATAATAAGCGCGCCTCTGGGTGTACCGACACTATCTTAGTGAACTCTCATATTAGAATATTTTCATGCTTGCATAGAAAAAGTGTATTACTTATTTTGTTATATTACCACTTATATTACAGAATCGGTAAGGGCTATTGCTAAAATATTTATAGTTTTGAAATATACATTAAATCTAATTTATTATTACGTAAAATTACCATCTTACCTGTGATAATTTACGAGAAATACGCTAAAATTAAAGTGGTATGTCATATTTGACATCTTTATCATAATATAGACTGAGCAATAACAGGGTCCCACCCGCCTTACGAGCACCGATAGCAACTGTATTTGATAATAAATACATAATGTAGCTCTTTTGTCAGTCCCTGATTAAGAATCAAAATGCAGATGCATTGCTACTTACCAGTTAAATAGGCATCTGGTTTTTTCATTTATCATATGAAATGAAACAGCACTATGTTTCTGTGTATATGTGCAAAACAGCTGTAGTGCGGCCCTAACATTTTAATTGTGTATTATACAAATCATCATCATTATCATTACAGCCCTTCACAAGTCCACTGCTGAACATAGGCCTCCCCCAAAGAATGCCACAAAGCACGGTCCTGAGCCACCTGCATCCATCGACTTCCTGCAAATCTTACCAGGTCGTCACTCCATCTAGTGGGGGGACGCCCTACACTTCGCCTGCCGGTACGAGGCTGCCACTCGAGAACCTTTCTTCCCCATCGGTTGTCGGTTCTTCGAGCTATATGGCCGGCCCATTGCCACTTCAGCTTACTAATCCGTTGGGCTATGTCGGTCACTCTGGTTCTACTGCGGATATCCTCATTTCTGAGTTTATCACGCAGAGAAACTCCGAGCATAGCCCTCTCCATAGCTCGCTGAGCGACCTTGAGCTTCCTCATCCGGCCAGCAGTGAAGGACCACGTCTCAGTTCCGTATGTCATCACTGGCAACACGCACTGGGTGTACAGTCTCGTTTTCAAGTTTTGAGGTATACCTGACGAGAAGATGTGCCGTAATTTCCCGAACGCTGCCCAACCGAGTTGAATCCGTCGATTGACCTCTCGGTCGAAGTTGGACTTACCTAGTCGGACTATTTGTCCCAGGTAAACATACTCGTCAACAACTTCGAGCTTAGTGTTCCCAACAACTACCGGCATAGGTGTGACATGGACATTAAACATGATCTTTGTTTTGTCCATGTTCATCTTAAGACCTATCCGTTGGGAAACACTATTGAGGTCATTGAGCATAGTGCTTAGGTCCTCCAGCGATTCTGCCATAAGGACTATATCGTCGGCAAATCGAAGGTGAGTGATGTACTCGCCATTGATGTTGATACCGTATCCTTTCCAGTCCAGAAGCTTGAAAACATCTTCCAATGCAGCGGTGAAGAGTTTCGGGGATATGACGTCACCCTGTCTTACACCTCTCTGCAATTGGATAGGTTTCGTACTCTGGTTCTGTACTCGGATAGCCATCGTAGCCCTACTGTACAAGCACTTCAACACTTCGATATACCGACAGTCAACTTGGCATCGCTGAAGGGACTGCAGCACCGCCCAAATTTCGACGGAATCAAAGGCTTTCTCATAGTCCACATACGCCAGACATAGTGGCAAATTGTACTCCTCGGACTTCTGTACAATTTGCCGAAGGGTATGTATGTGGTCTATGGTGCTAAAGCCTTTTCGGAAACCGGCTTGTTCGGGAGGCTGGAAGTCGTCAAGTCTGCGCGCGAGACGATTCGTAATGACTCTCGAAAACAGCACGTAGACGCGGCTCAGAAGGGAAATCGGTCTGTAGTTCTTCAAGAGAGCGTTGTCGCCTTTCTTGAAGAACAAGACCACCGCACTTCCGCTCCACGCCTCCGGTGTAATGCCACCATGGAGGACGGAATTAAAGAGCTTCTGAAGGACTTCAAGTACCGGTTTTCCACCCGCTTTCAGAAGCTCCGCTGTAATTCCATCCTGGCCTGGGGCCTTGCCGTTTTTAAGGTGCTGGAGAGCCATTCTAATCTCGCTCAGACTGACGTCCGGGATATCATCGGAATAATGTCGGATAAGACTCGCTCTTGGATCGTTACTCACACTTGCGTGTGGCTCCAACGATGACGTGTACAGCTGCCCATAGAACCTCTCAATCTCACTCAAAATCTCAGGTGCCCCGGAAACGATGCTGCCACATTCGGTCTTCAGCTTTGACAGTTGGCTCTTTCTGGCAGACAGATCTCTGGCAAAGACTTTGGAGCCTTGGTTCCGCTCGATCGCTTCTTCAATACGAGCTGTATTGAAGTTGCGTAAGTCCCGCCGCATGCATTTGGAGATCTGTCTGTTCAGTTGCCTGTATGCTGTCAAATCTGTTGAAGAATGTAGCTTCATCTCCCGTCTAACAGCCATGAGATTAAGAGTGTGATCGGAGAGTTTTTGTGTTCTTCTGCGGCGGGTCTTGCAGAACTTAGCTCCGACCGCATGGACAGTTTCCACGAGCTTGTCATTCAAATCGTCCACTTCATTGCAGTCTTCTAGGCACTGAAAACGGTTTTGCAACTCGAGCTGAAAGGTTTCGGGACTTTGGATTAGAGCACGAGGGGGACGGAGCGTTGACTTCATTAGACGAGACCTCTCCAACTTAACGTTTAGGTTCAGTGTGCCTCTAACCATTCGGTGATCGCTGCCGGTTTTCACCCTCGCGATCACTGAGACATCACTGAACAGTTGTCGTCTGGTCGTCATAATGAAGTCAATCTCATTTTTTATTTTACATTTATTTATTATACAAATATAATTATAAAATTAAATAAAAATCGAATATAATAAGAAATTTAATGCCATCATAAAAATAATACGTAGTTTTAGTTGTAATATTTTGGACAGTCATAATTAAAAAATGGTGCTGTGCTATCTCTTCCTGACTGAAAATCCCACGGGCAGATTTCATTTAGGATAACACGGAACACTGAAAAATAGAAATGGGTTAATCGAGTACAAAACAACTTGTTTGTAAATTTTTGTATTTCTTCATGGAATTTAACTTAGCAACTTAAATAGTAGCAGAACGATTCGCTTACTAAGTTTCTAGTCAGACAGAATTTTAGCTGACTATAATAAGTGTAAATCGATAGTAGTTGTGATAGTAAGTTCTGTTACAAATTAAAATGCATATGTTTAAAGAAACAATAAAATAATAATGAAATTTATACTACATATTTTATTGATGTCAAAAACCACCTTGATTAAAATTAAAATATTTTTAATCAAGGAGGCAATAAGCTATTACTAGCTCTAAAGATTTATTTAGAAACTTGATGTCAGAGTGATGTTTCGAGCAGGCCATGTCCTCAAGTACTGACCACACTAGGCCACCCAACGGATTGAGCTTGGACGAGACGAGGACCAGTCCTCAGCTCTTATAAAGTCCGTAACATTGTTCTTGGGCAGAATTTGAGCTCGTGCTCTTTGAGCAGGAACAAAGTCTTGCTGGTATGACTACAATACATTTTTAAAAAGTGTGTCACTGAGAGGCTTCACTAAAGGATCCAAGATAGTCTCTTGATAAGCTTTGGCCGAAGTCTTTACTCCTTTTAAACAAAGAGGAAGCTTTGCACTCCTTGAAAAGGCAAACTCAATCAAACTTTGATGGATACAGGGTGATTTTTCTGTAAATGCCATGATGAGAACGGATAGCAGAACTGACACTATTTTGTATAAATTTACATTTTTAAAGTTCATGTTCGTCATCATCATCACAGTTTTTCACTAACTGAGTTAGAGTCCTTGGGCTCTAACAAATATTGTTGTTTCTAGTACGTAGTGAATATAACTTCAATGTGAACGTCATAATCCACACCGGTTCAGAAAACGAGACCGTCTCACAGAAGAAATTCCTTGGGTTTTTAACTTTTAAATGTCTTGTGCAATTTCTTTTACAATGTATAATGAATACATAGTAATTATGTACTATTATTTTAGTGTTGCCACTACATCGCGAATATACAGGGTTATTTTGTTAATCGGGCAGAGAATGTTCATAATAAGTAATATAGCCAAATGTTGAAGAAAAATTAATTAAAAAAATCTCAAACATTCTGTCCTTTTTAGTTTTTAAATTTAAAATACGTGGTAATGCATTAATTTAACGAATTTTACTGCGCACACACACATTCGTAAGGTTCGATCGGTAGGCATAAACGTTGTTGCCCATAAATCACAATTAATTTGGGATAAATTCAAATAAATTATTACTTATTTACTCATATTTTCAAAAACTGCAATAACAGTATATCATTATATACATATTTGATCTTAAGTTTAAAATTCGACTACTCTTTGTAAAATAACCTTGTATAACAAGACGAAGCCGAGATGTCCAAATTCAGCAGCGAGCTGATTAGGGGCCCTCGACAAAGTCGAAAAAAGCTCTAAGAAGTCGTACTCGTACCTGTGTTATACCTGCAATTATGTTTTTTACTTTCACATTCATTTTTGAAAGACAACACATTCCCTGTATTGTAATTACACGCACACACCGGTGACAAAATCTCTTTCGGAGTACATTGTAATTGGGAACACGCGAACGCCATCTGATTATCGATACTCTTCAGTGTCTCGTCACTTATATTTATTGGAGGTGGTATTAATGCTGTGAATCGTCTTCTGAATGATGCTATTGGATTCCTTTCCATTTTTAAAGTGTCCGGTCCTAAGCTTTCACTTAAAATCATCATTTCTTTAAATGTTTGTATTTGCTCCTGGTTGTCATATTTCTTAGTTTTTCTACAACAGTTGATAGTTTCCGCAACAACTAAGGTTGCAAACCTCTGCAATTATTAAAGCTGCAGTAAAAAATAATTAGGGTCACCATTTCTTCTTAACAACTGCAAGGTTATGAAATGTGAAAATTTACTTTTATGAGTACATAGGGTACACTGAAAGTTATACACTCCTGGCTGCTCATAAATGTTTGAATTACAATGTTATATTTTTTAAAGTTCGTAGGCCCGAGGTGCTCGGTGCATTTCGGACACATTCCATGCAAGAATTTTGCTTTTCTTATGAATAAAGTCCCGTCACCGAACTGTGAACAATGCGGTGTTCCCGAGGAGCGTGGCTTGATGGAGTGTGCCCGCAATGCTGCCTTTCGAATAGCTAAGTGTAAAAATATTTTAAAGCAATTTGCTGATTGTAACATTATTTTATCCAATCCTCATTCCAATGAAACAAAATTATTGGCTAAATTATATAACATTATCTTTTCCTCAGATCAGTCAATTAGATAGTACTTGTTTTCATTTTTGTTTGCTTGTTAAATTGAATGTTATTTAGTTCTAAATGATGTCAAATAGAGCGACATAATCGCATTTTGATTAAGCTCTTAAATAAAGATTTAAAAAAAGAACTTCATATATTGATTAAAATATTTTTTAGTGGGAAGTCACGTGTCATTTGCTAATTTTATTACAAATTGAAGTTCGCCATCAACCGTAGCAAAAATCGAATTATCACGATATCTGAGCGATGACTTTTATAATTTTAAAAATTCACACTCCACATGATTGCACTGCTCGTCTTCCAAATGCGTTTGGGAGGAAAGCACCTATTGGAGCACGTTGGTACGCACCTATGGTACGCACGATTTAATCGTGCCGTCTCTTCATAATTATATTCTGACCAACTGATATCACTGAGGAAAATGTGGCTCATAATTGAAGAAAACCGGCGCATCATCTATGAATAGATTCCAGGATATTTGAGTATTGGTAAAGCCAAATTCAACAATTTTTACATCAACATTTAAAAGTTAGAAAACTTTGTTGCCGCTGGATTCCTCATGAAGTTACAAAACAAAAACGGGCGCGAATTAACGCAAACCTCTCTGTGTACCCCACGTATTTGAATCCACAAAAACTTACCACATAAATTCAGGAGAAGCGTAGGTACAATCAACACGCATTATAGAAATATCCTATATTTAAGCCAAAACACTTGTATTCATGAATGGAATAATGATATTTTTAAAGATTTCTTGTTGAAAACATGGTAGGTATCTAAAGGCATGCATATTAAGATTACAGCAAGATTAATTTTCACGAACTGCTACATAAGAGTGATATATAATCTATAAACAACTATTAATTTTTTATTGTTATTGATTTTTTTTTTATAAATTGAAGTGACATGCGACAGACAGACTTATACTCCATCTGATGGTAAGTGACTACCATATACTTAGAATATACTGGCCTTAGATTATTAATAGGTCATCGCGGTCTGAGCGCGCGAAGACTTATCAATAATCTAAGCCCAGTATATTCTAAGTGTATGGTAGTCACTTACCATCAGATGGAGTATAAGTCTGTCTGTCGCATGTCACTTCAATTTATAAAAAAAAAATCAATAACAATAAAAAATTAATAGTTGTTTATAGATTATAAATCACTCTTATGTAGCAGTCCGTGAAAATTAATCTTGCTGTAATCTTAATATGCATGCCTTTAGATACCTACCATGTTTTCAACAAGAAATCTTTAAAAATATCATTATTCCATTCATGAATACAAGTGTTTTGGCTTAAATATAGGATATTTCTATAATGCGTGTTGATTGTACGCTTCTCCTGAATTTATGTGGTAAGTTTTTGTGGATTCAAATACGTGGGGTACACAGAGAGGTTTGCGTTAATTCGCGCCCGTTTTTGTTTTGTAACTTCATGAGGAATCCAGCGGCAACAAAGTTTTCTAACTTTTAAATGTTGATGTAAAAATTGTTGAACTTGGCTTTACCAATACTCAAATATCCTGGAATCTATTCATAGATGATGCGCCGGTTTTCTTCAATTATGAGCCACATTTTCCTCAGTGATATCAGTTGGTCAGAATATAATTATGAAGAGACGGCACGATTAAATCGTGCGTACCATAGGTGCGTACCAACGTGCTCCAATAGGTGCTTTCCTCAAATTTACTTTTACGAGTACATAGGGTACACTGAAAGTTATACACTCCTGGCTGCTCATGAATGTTTGAATTACAATGTTATATTTTTTTAAAGTTCGTAGGCCCGAGGTGCTCGGTGCACTTCGGGCCTATGAGGCACTCCGATAGCCTACTCAGTCCTGGACTGTATTTTAAATCTGACCTCCAATTCTAAATCTATAAAGTTACAGTGTATTTCGTCACACTGTGGCGTTGAATATAATGAAAGGGTAGACGTCTTGGCTAGACAAGCTATTACTGATGGAATTAAATATAATGTACTCCCTTATTATACAGATTGCATTTGGTTAATCATAAAACAATGCTACAAATTATGGAAGGAATATTTTGATTTACGCTCTAAAGAAAAAGGTATCTGGTATGATTTATAATCTATAAACAACTATTAATTTTTTATTGTTATTGATTTTTTTTTTATAAATTGAAGTGACATGCGACAGACGGACTTATACTCCATCTGATGGTAAGTGACTACCATATACTTAGAATATACTGGCCTTAGATTATTGATAAGTCTTCGCGCGCTCAGACCGCGATGACCTATTAATAATCTAACATACTGGCGTATAGACGACCTGACAGCCCGAAAACATTTTACTTACAAGGGCTATCAAAAAATGATTGTTAAGGAAGCGGTAAAAGGATTTAAAAAATTGGTTTAGTGCCCGAAATTGAATAACTTCAAAAATTAACTGAATTTTTACCTTGATAGTTCTAAAAAAATTAAAAAATGTTCATATAACTAAGTATAACTATTTATATTTTATACTAGCTGTGCCCGCGGCGTAGCTCGCGTATACAGGTTTTACATAAAGAATTTGTCGTTTAGGTAAGAGAATATTAAACGATTTATTTCATTACTGTATCAATAAGTGGTAACTAAATAAATCATTATCATCAAAGTTCTAAGTCGTTTATGATAGAGCTTCTGTGTAAACGACGTTAGAAGTAGGCTTAGCCGGGGTGTACACAAAAAGGTTACGGGGGATACTAACGCGGGAAAAAGCAACATAGAGTTGGCCATGTGCAAAACAGTCAGTACTGAGGTATACTCCTACAACGCGTAAAGTTTGACCTTGCGCTTTATTTACGGTCATCGCATAACACACGCTCACTGTAACTGGGAACTGAACGCGCATAAAACTGAAAGGAAAGTTACTTCTTAATAGAGGGTTTTTGGGCAGTGCTGCTAGATAAAAAAAAACTCATTCAGCTCTAGGACAACACAAAAAGCGCTAGATTTCATGAAAACAGCGCTTTAAAAAAGCCCTAGATTTCGCGCTAAATTAACTACAAACAAAGTTTGTGTTTTTTTATATAATCATAATAAAGAAAACAACATTAAGTTTCTTTTCTGCCAATATATTTTTATGTATCAATACTTCGCAGGACATCGACTTATAATTATGGCAATTGCTGTCAACAGTAGTTAGTACTGTACGAACAATAAAAATGTCATTAATTGTTTTAAAGTGCAATGTATTTCGCAACTTAGTTTCAGATGTCAGCATCTGATTGCGGTTGCTACACAGTTTCTTTGTGTTATAACTTCTAAGTAACTTTTAACTTAGCTGTGCTCTAAGCAACTGACTGAAACTGAATAAAGCAAAATAAATGCGTTATAAAGGTGTAAAGGGACTCCAGAATCCTGACGCACATACGTCAGGATTCTGGATTCCTGGATGTATTCGTACCTGTAACACTTACAATAAGCTATAAAGATCTACTGCTTATTCCTTGTCCCTTATGAAATTTTCTGTGTACATAATTCGTAAACAAGTCTTTGTTGATGAAAAGAGGAAATATTTAATAATCTATTTATTAACAATATTATACGTGGTACACGGTGGAGCCTATTATAGCTGGAATAGAAATGGACTCGGCTCGACGGCGGAAGGTTCACGCCCGCAATAGAAATGGATTCTACCAAAGTAAAATAGCAGCATAATGCTGCTGTTTTTCGTATGGTTATTTTTATTGATATTTTACTGGTAACGAGGCCTTCTATCATATTTCCCAGAAATTACAGTGCATTGTATTTTTATTCTTAGAGAAATTAAAACGGAAGATGGGTAGTTCCGTATATACACTCTTATCTATGATGGGTAGCACCATGTTCCTAAAATAAATCATGGATGGATGAATCATACTTCAGTCTATTTTCTGTGATGTTTACGCTGTTAGCCTATGCAGCTCTTACAGCTTCATCTGACACAGGGCTCGCGGCCTGTAATCATGGTTCAGTGTAAGTATCTATAGGTCATGCTGTCCACTAACTATCAGGTGGCCTAGGTGCTCATTTGTCACCTGTTCCATTACCATTACAGCCTATTCAAGACCACGGTTGAACATAGGCATCTCCTGAGACTGTTCCATAAGGGAAATATTTGCCATAGTTGCCACGCTTGGCAGGCGCATTTTTTCATTTTCTAGTTGCTATTAGGAAGACGCTACTGCCCATTTTTTAGTTTGCTTCCCTCTGTCGCTTTTTACGACACCCGCTGGACGATATGTAGATATTAACAAAAAAAAAACTTTACCATCAATGTAAATTGTTTTTTTTTATTTTTTCGCAATACTTTTCACAATAACGTTGGGAAATGGAAAATCTTTTTCTTTTTGCCATTTTGCCTTTCGAAGTTGGCAGAAACGTTTGAAGTCAAAGTTAATATTTTTATTACTTTAAAAAAAACGTTATACCCACACCAGTATTTTCTCCTGTATCGTGGAGGCCCGGAACAATTATTTGTAGTCCATACAAATACTTGTTCCGTGATTGATTCGAACTCGCGGCCTCCAGCGCAACAACTCATTGCTAAGCCACTGCGCCACGGAGCCGACAAATTCAATATATTCAATTTTCTATGTTTTGTTCATAATCATTTTATGATAATATCATTTGGCCAGTTCATTAAAGTACTGAATAGTGAGCCAAAATAATATATTTGATAAATTTAAAGTACCTACCTAAGTATTATATATTTACAAATACAAAACAAGTGATTATTTGTTAAAATAGGTATCAAAACCTTGAGAATCGGAATATCCACTGTACTGTTTATCCGAAGAACCTTTATCAAGGTATCCTTGTTTCCCATGCAATCCTTTATTACGATCATGATGAAAATGACCTTTACTGAACTCTTGCCAGTATTGACCCTAATACCAAGTCCTTTTGCTCCAATTTTTTTTATAATCCCGCTGGTTTCATCGTCTTCGTAGATCTCTTTATCTTTTTTGTATTCATCCTTATGTTGAATACGATGAAAACCTCGAGTTTTTGTCCCTTTCCTGTATTTTCTATCTTCGTTTCCAGTGACCCTGATAGCTTTTGCGCCAGCACCTTTACTAAGTGTATACTCATCATCGTTATCATATAATTCTTCATCGTGTAATTCACCAGACTTCAAAAACCTTTTCAAATCTTGAATGTTATGTTTAGATTTAATTCCCTTACTATCTATATTTTTCTTTTTAAACCCAAAGTTATTTACCTTCGTCTTAGCATTATTATTTGCTTTAGTGTTTGGATAAGCATCGTCTATAAGTCTAGAGAAGTCATCAAGGTCTTCATCTTCAATTCGATACGATACATTGGAGAGATCAGAGTCTGAGCGGTCGAAATCCAAATCTTCTATACCGTTCGGCGCCGATTCAACCCAATAGCAGGCCAATGTCAAAGCCAATGCGAAGCAAAGTTTCTTATCCATACTGGAGTATTTTTTACTGGCTGTTTTGTAATAGAACTAGGTTGCGGCACTGACATACATCATGGCATCAATTACGTTTATATAGTATTTTATTTAACATCTGACCAAGACATAATGTTTCTATGATTAATTTTGTAGCGGCAAATTATACAGTTCCAAATGAATGGATTACTTATAGAGATACAATACAACTAATGGACTTAATTGCTTGTGACGGTTGTGTGACACGGTGTGTTAATATTCTTTACGGAAAACTATTTTTAGGTAATTAGAAAAAATACTGCATATTGAGAAAACTAACGAATTAGTATTTCCTGGCTTACCGTTACAGCCTACTAAAATCCACTTTTGAACATAGGCCTCCCACATAGATTACCCCATATAGCCCATATATATACCCCAGATATATGCCATAGTTGCCACGCTTGGAAAGCGGGTTGCCAACCACAGTTTTTTACTTTTAGTCATTATTAGGAAGATGCTGCTGCCCATCTCCTGATTTGTTTCTCTCTGTCGCCTCTTACGACACTTGCGGGTTGTTATGGGGTAATAGACATTCCTACACCGCTACTACGAGGTCCTTTCTTTCGTTCACGATTTGATTGACACATTATTTAATTTATCCGAAAATATCTAAGTAAAGTTATGTTAAAAGCCGTGACAGCAGGGTCTAAGCACTAACCCCATGCAATTTCACTACACGCGAGCACATCGGCTTCGATCTGCGCTTGCACCGTTGAAATTGTTAAATTCAATTTTAATTTACAATTTTGTTTACGTGGTAGAGCCATGCTGTAGCTATATTACTAGTATAGTTGTAGCACGAATGGGTCGGTTCGACCGGAGAAGGACCACGACCTCACAGAATACCAGCGTAAAAGAGCAGCTTAACACTGTTGTGTTTCGTATGGTGAGTGTAGAGAACCGGAGACCCCTTTAGTCTGCACTTTGATTCATAATTGAGGTTAGATGTAGATGTCTATGGGCCCTAGAGAACTAAGATGGAATGCTTCGTTCTCAGTAAAATGAAAGGGTCACCGGTTCTCGCACTTCCCATATGAAACATAGTAGTTAATACGCTGGCTGATATTATACCCTAGTTAAAAAAATAAGCATTAGGTATCTATTTGCTTATTTTCGTAACTTGTATGTTTTTGTAGTTTCTGATTTTAAAAGACAATTACAACATGACTATATTTACCTCATAGTTTTTTTTTACTTTTGTTATCAGGTATATGTAACGTGACCATACGTCACGTTTTTTTTATTTTTATTTTGACACAAACAGTCATCAACAAAAAATTATATTACCTAAATAAAACATGCGTGAGTGTCGTGGTAAACTCGGCTGGTACGAAGTTCCTTTCGTAGTATATTATTATTATTCGTAAACGTATTTTATTATGGATTAACTAATACAAATAAATAAAATACTAGCGTCTATTAAAATAAAGCGTCATTTAAGATAATATATCTTTAATGGCATGATAAGAAAAAAAGTGCTAAGGAGATGGCTATTATTCCATCTCGCTATCACTATAGAAAGGGTCGTGACGGAAAAATCTTACACTTTTTGTCGCCTAGCGCCCATTCGCCAAATTCGTACCGTGCGATTAGGAACTTCGTTCCAAAAAGACATAGAGCATTGTAAAGCGTGCATAGTTTATTTTCCGTATCATGATTACTTATGAAAAGTTATTAAAACCCTCTCTCGTCTCGTACATGTTGTAAGACCAGAAGCGGTATAACCCTCACGCACCCATAACGGAAATTGCTAAACCAGCGACAAGAAGCAGTATCAAGGGTGCGAGACGTCCGTAACGACGATCGCAAAACCGTCTGCATCACCGTGGCTATCACGGTGAATCCTCTCTACCATGGGGGACGCACCTGTCCAGCAGTGGACCGTTTAGAGGGATGATGAGAATGAGGGGGCCTATATTTGTTGTACATACATACATACACATTTACATGTACATGTTTTGAACGTCCCTTTTTTTGGTACTCCGTCCGTGTGACCCAGATGAAATTTTCAGGACGCAAAAAAAAAGAAATGTTCCGTTACAGAGTGGTTGAGACTTCAGACGCAATAACGGATCTGTGTCTAGAAATTACATTCATTTTTAATAGAGTTAGATTTCTCATTTTTGATAAATCGGCATGTACGTGATCTCTGCTGGCTGCTGTTTGTATAATTTGAAATTACTTCGTTACGCTTTTGCATCGCTTTGTTAATATTAAAGCCTTGAATGTCGATGAAGGAGAAGGTCGTTGAAGCAATATTTAAAAATTCGTAATTAACGTTATTAACGTCGAATAAAACTAATTTTACGGATTTTATTCCATAATCCATATATGATAAGCGAATTAAAAAGAATAATAATTTTAATTGCTGAGTGCTGCCATCGGATTAACTTGGGATTCGGTAGTTAATAAAATTAAATCCAAAGATAAGTATGGCACTGCAAAACTTCATAATAACATATGATATTTTTTTAGAATAACATTTTTTTTTTGTTTTTATAGGATAGGGTGACAAACGAGCACAGTCCACCTGATGGTAAGTGGTTGCTGTGGCCTATAGACATCTACATTTATCCTCGTTTGTGAATCAAAATGCAGATGCATTGTCACCCGTGAGGACTAAGATGGAATGTCTCATTTCCAGTAAAAAGGGTCTCCGGTTCTCTACACTCACCATACGAAACACAGCAGCATTAAGCTGCTATTTTACGCTGGTATTCTGTGAGAGCGTGGTCCTTCCCCGGTCGAGCCGACCCATTCGTGCTACAACTATACTACTAATATAGCTGCAGCATGGCTCTACCACGTGTAAACATATTGATGTTTTAAAGCTGAAGGTGGCCCAGAGTCCCAATACAACAAACCCAAGCCTAACATCCTTGACTAGGAAGTCAAGGATGTTGGATGTTGGATGACGCTCGGGAATTTAAACAAAAATTAAACTCTGTAATACCTTTGGATTCGTCTTATTCAAGGAATGCATTTTTGTTATATTCCCTACTAGGTTATTTTTGTGTATTGGTGTCTGTCGTGGCTAAGACAGCCAGTAGATACATTTGGGAAGGAGTGGTCTCCTCCCAAGGAGGGGCCGCCATGGGGCGGCCGGCGCTAGTGGGGCCGCGGATGTGTGCGAAAGTGTACCCCTGGCCCTGCCGATATGCGACGAAGGTGGAAGACCATGAGGTTTTAGTCGGTACGATTCTGACATAACTCGTCTTTGCCCCCGCGAGGCGGGTATACGTACGTATTTCCCCCCACGTTAAAGAAAAAAGATAGGTACATTTCAAAGTTGTGAGGTATTCCATCACAAACCTCAAGTGTGACAACGCATCCGTGACCATCTTTGTTTAAAGTTGTTTACATGTTGTGTCTATTTGCTTTTTAATTCTATTTTAATAAAGGGACTTTCATCGTGTCGTTATCCAGGGAGGAAGCATAGGAATACGTTTGTATGGACTTTTGGAAGTGCCTTGACAGCTGAAATGTATCCTATAGTTCGGCAAATGCTTTCTTTTATTTTCTACCGACTTCAAAAATGAGGAGGTAATACTCAATTCGACTGGATGTTTTATATGTGTGTTACTTCATAACTTTTTTCTGATTGAATCGATTTCGATGATTCTTTTTTTATTTGAAAACCGGTACTTCTCATGCGGTGCCATATAAATTTGATAAAGGTCTGGACAATAGTTTTTGAGTTTTTCTTAATAATATATATTGAAGTCGCTTGTACAATTTTATTTTTTATTTCAAATTATTGAGAGTGTATTTGCACCATAGCCATTAATATTTCAGTAGTGCAGAATATATACAATTTAATACGCAGTGAAACAACCTAGGCTGGTCGCTTATTCATCATCATCATCTTACAGCTAATAACAAGTCAATTGCTGAAGAATAGGATAGGATTTCTCCCCTCTCCCTCCTGGAATGCAACAAAGCGCATTTCTGAGCTCCTAACATTCTTATATGCCCACCGGGAATCCATTCTATCCCCACTAGAGCTTGCCACACACTGCAATTAGTTGTGAACTACCTTACGCGTTAATAAGTGCTAATTGTGGGTCGTAATGTATTTTGTGCGTAATCGTTTAAACTATAGTTAATAATACGAATATTACGATAGAATAAGCAGTTAAAGTAAAGTAAAGTAGCGGCCTATATACGTCCCACTGCTGAGCACAGGCCTCCTCTCATTTCTAAGAGGGTTTTAGGGTAAGAAAATGTCCGCCGCGCTGCCCCAAAGCTTGTTGGCGAATTTCACACGTCTACGAAATTTTTTTTTTTCTTATTTCTCAGACATGCAGTTTTCCTCTCGATGTTTTCCTTCACCGCCGAGCACGTGGTAAATTAGTATTTAAAATTGCAATTAACAATTTCATTGGTGCCGGCGGGATCGAACCCTGGTTGCAGGCGTACTGTGAAATTTAGAGCGAACACTTAGCCCTTGAGCCACCACGGCTCCCGCTGACGGACGTACGTTTGTAGTGACAAACTAACATACAGTCCACCTCATGGTAAGTGGCTACTGAAGCCCATGGACATCTATACATCTATACAAATAAATAAAATTGAAGTGTCTGTTTGTAATAATTAACCCTTTCGCTGTCCCGTGGACTACATATAGGGCACTGCTATTGTCTTACTATTGTGTCTGGAAACCGGACAGTGAAAGTGTTAAAATAACAGCTTTTTACTAAATGCATATGAAAGTATATAAAGTACTAATAACAAAGCATATTTTTTAAAACTTTTGTATGTCTGTCGGTCTGTCTGTCTGTCCGTTTGTTCCGGCTAATCTCCGAAACGGCTGGACCGATTTCGACGGGACTTTCACTGGCAGATAGCTGATGATATAAGGAGTAACTTAGGCTACTTTTGTTTTCAAACAGAATTAGGGTACCGCGCAAAAAAAATTAAAACCCATGAAATCCAAGTTCCACGCGGGCGAAGTCGCGTGGAACAGCTAGTATACAATACTTATATACGAGCAATACTTTACAATACTTTATGTGTTGTCATTTCTAGGGACTAAGATGGAATGCTTCACAGCCTGAAATAATACGGGCTCTTTACACTCTGCAGACCGGAATACAGCACACGTTAGTGCGGGCTATTTTTCGGCAGAAATAGGTCCTGCACCTGTATGCTTTATCTTAGGACTGCGGGCAAAAAATTTATTTTATAAAATTACTTTTAAAGTTATAATTCTTTTGGGGCGTTTGGAAAAAATGATGAGAGTAAATTTTTAAGCTGCGCGCGCACACCGACACATAAAAACGACGCCATGAAGTTGTTACGAAGCGCACACACTGACTCCTAAAAGTGATAACTTCAGTGGGTGACTCTCTCTCAAGGTTTTTTTGTTTTGTTACGCTAAAGAAGTATAACTTCCTACGTGCGCGCATAAGTACACACACACACACACACACACACACACACACACTTTTTTATATGAAGTTATGTGTAACGTCCATGTCAGCCACATGCCAGTTGGTGTTGGGAGCACTAAGCTCGGAGTTGTTGACGAGTATGTTTACCTGGGACAAATAGTCCGACTAGGTAAGTCTAGAGAGCTCAATCGACGGATTCAACTCGGCTGGGCAGCGATCGAAAGATTACGACACATTTTCGTGTTTTTCATTTTCGAGACGTTAATTGTGTTAGTAGGAGAGTGCGCTAGTACTTCATATTAGTTATTGTACAATAATTTTACTAATTACTAGCTGTTCCCCGCGACTTCGCTCGCGTGGAATTTGCTACGATTTAATTTTTTTGCGCGGAATTAATTCTTTTTTTAAAATAAAAGTATCCTAAGTTACTCCTTATAACTCCTGATAACAGCGGTTTCGGAACAAACAGACAGACAGAAAAATTATTTTTTGTTATTAGTACTGTAAGTATATATTCTTTCATATGCATTTAGTAAAAAGCAATTATTTTAACATTACAAACAGACACTTCAATTTATTTGTAGTATAGATTATCTAATGAGCCCAATGAGTCACTCAAAATGATAGGGGGGGGGGGGGGGGTTTAGACTTTGGCTAAAAACTTTAAATAAAAACACAAATTATTATTTCGTTATTTATCACTTGCTGTAAAAAATTACCGGTATTCGCATATCAAATATAACAATAAATCAAATCAATTAAATAGTTAACAGTTATTTACAAATAAAAAAGTCCATCCGTTTAATATTTGTCGTTGTCATCATCATCGTCATCGTCCGCGTACCCGAACTCTTTTTCCTGACCACTGCCTCCACTCTTGCCGTAATCTTCGTGATGATCGTAATGGCTATCATTGCCTTCCTCAGCAGAATAACCTTTGTGACCATCATCTATATGACCTTTAGCATGGAAACCAGCCTTTCCGTGGGCGCTCTTTTCGTAACCAGCGTCACTATGTTCACCCTTTTTATGACTTCCCTCCTCAGACCCATGATGTTTGTTTTCGTATCCGTGCTTATTGAAGTGTCCGCTCTTATCAGCTACGTCATAAAAGTCGTGGTCCTTCTTGAACTCGTCCTTGTGGAACACCTTGTGGTAACCCGTAATGTCTTCTCCTTTGCTGAAATGCTTCTTGTGTCCGTGATCTCCTCCCTTGTAGCTTTTGCCTGATTCGTAATGTTTACCGTGAGCATCAGCCTCGTTGTGATGTGCTACCTTTTTGCCTTCACCTTCTTTATAGAATCCTTCGTTGTGCTCCTTGCCGTAGTGGCCAGATTCTCCTTCAGCGTGATTGTCTTTAGATTTGTAACCTTTACTGCCTTTCTCACCGTGAGCTGCGTGATGTTCTTCGCTGTAATCGCTGCCAGCACCTTTCTCATAACCGTGGTCAAGTCCTTTGAGACCTCCGTCCGCGTATTCAGCAGATTCCTCGTCAGATTCTTCATCATCCTCGGCGTCTTCAATCACAATAGGCTTTGCAGCAATGTAAGGTAAATGAGCTGGAGCTAGATCGTAAGTTTGGATCGCTTTCAATGGTTGCGATAGAGGTAAAGGAGGTGCGAATATCTGAGGCTGCTGGTAACCATGAACTCCTAATTGAACAAGACTTCCTGGACCACCGTTATCGCTACGGTATATATAGCTAGTGGCCGCTGGAGGCGCATAGCCCACATGGACCGCTGTAGCAGAAGTCAGTGCAAATAAAACGACAGCAATTGTCTTCATCTTGAGATGTGTTCACCTCTGCAACCTATTCCGTTATACTTTGGTAACCCCGTTACCCAATATTTATATCTGGGTTGGACACATCCGTCCGTGAGTGTTCTACCTTTTTTATAGCCATGTAACAGATTGTTTATTAACGAGGTTGTAGGTGACAAAGAAGTTGATAGTGAAAAAATTGATCATTGTGCAATATTAGCGGGCGGCCCGACCGCAAGCAAATCAGCGTGAAATGTTTTTTATCTTGACCCTATAACTGGCAGTTAAATAGGCTATTAGCCTTGAACTTGTATTATGCTAGTCGTCTGATGATGATGTAATCGGTTACATTTTAATATATTTTTAAAATATTTTTTATTTATTTTTATAAAAAACGTTACCTCCACACTAGGATTTTCTCCTGTGTCGTGGAGGCAGTTTACAAACATAAATTGCACGTGGACAAACATCCAGACCCGGAACAATATTTGTAGGCCATACAAATACTTGTTCCGTGCGGGAATCGAACCCGCGGCCTCCAGCGCAACAACTCATTGCTAAGCCACTGCGCCACGGAGCCGTAAATAATAAATAACTATTTATTCCATCCATTACAGCCTATAAAAGTCCACTGCTTAACATAGGCTAGCTATAGCTATAGATTGTCTATCTATAGGGGAGGAAGATCTCTTGGCAAACGGGTTGGCCACCGCAGTTTTTCTATTAATTTGAGTTGTTACCAGGAAAAAATACGAAATAACCAATGAGATGAACAAAATTTAATTGAATAAAGAATTGATATTTTCCACGCTAGAGATGCGCAGCAGCTGTAATGCCTACAGCATTAAGGTCGGGTCGACCGGCAAAGGGCATGTATGATGTTAGAACTAGCATTGTGACTAGAACCGGAGTCCATTTTACGTGTAACAAGAATTTATATCTTAGTACATTAGCAATGCACTAAGATAATTTATATTCCTTTTCCTCTCATATTTATTATATAAAGAACCGTGGTATCTCAGATGGTTAGCGCTCGCTGTAAGTTTCACAGTACGCGAGCAATCCGGGTTCGATCTCCGCTGGCACCAATGAAATTGTTAATTGCAATTTTAAGTGCAAATTCACCACGTGCTTGGCGGTGAAGGAAAACATCGTGAAGAAACCTGCATATCTGAGAAATAAGAAAAAAAATATTTTCGAAGACATGTGAAGTTCGCCAACACACATTGAAGCAGCGCGGCGGACATTTCGTTGCCCGAAAACCCTCTCAGAAATAAAAGGAGGCTTGTGCCCAGCAGTGGGACGTATATAGGCTGTAGCTTTATCTTTTAACAATCTACGTGGTAGAGCCATGCTGCAACTATATTTCTGGTATAGTTGTAACACGAATGGGTCGGCTCGACCGGGGAAGGACCACGCTCTCACAGAATACCAACGTAAAATAGCAGCTTAATGCTGCTGTGTTTCGTATGGTGAGTGTAGAGAACCGGAGACCCTTTATACAGGAAACCGAGGCATTCCATCTAAGTCTTCACGGGTGACAACGCATCTGCATTTTGATTCGTAATTGAGGATAAATGTAGATGTCTATGGGCCACAGCAACCACTTACCATCAGGTGGACTGTGTGCTCGTTTGTCACCCTTTTGCTATAAAAAATGCATTGTCTAGAATAGATGTGCACGTGTCTTATGGGCGGCAGCATCAACTTACCATCAGATGGACTGCTAACTCGTTAATATATTTTAAATATTGACTTATTTAAGCTATTTGAAGGTAGAGCAATGCTTAGTTATTATCCATGACATGATGGTGAATTTGATATATTTTATTCAATATATTTCTATAAAAAAAAACGAACTGACTGTTCACCTTCTGGTAAGTGGTTACTGCAGGCCATGGACACCTGCAACCAACTTCAAGCAAAGAAGGCAGATGTGTTGTCTGGAAAACAGGCCCATGAGGTGGACAATGTGCTCGTTTGTCTTCCATATTATATGTAAAAAACAATCTGAGAAAACCGGTCATCATATCCAGCTTTTGAAACTTCAATACTATCTATGAGAAATGAGTTGATGATGTATGAGAACTGGGAGGACGGGCATAATCATGAAGAGTAAGCGGTGAACCCACATGTCCATATCATTCCATGGTTAAACTGAAATAGAAAATAGGCAACAGCATCTTCCTTATTACAAAATAATAAAATCTGTTGATCGTCCACCCGTCTGCCAAATTTGGCAGTTATGGTAAACATTCCTTATTATAGAGAAGGCCTATGTCTCGCAGTAGACTTTTGATAAGCTGTAAAAACAGTAGAGATAAACGACTGACCAAACTTAGTTGCTTTATTTCATCATCGACTATATCATCGTACACACACGTCTGATACACTTTTTTTTAATTAAGGCCTCCACAACTCCCCTTGCGGGTGAAATTTCGTAAAATCCTTTCATTCTTCCTCTACTCGGCGAAAGGAATATTCCTACCAAATTTGAAGTTTCTAGGCCTTATGGTACCAGAGATATCGCGATGAGTCTGTACAAAATGTGTTTTTTTTTTAAATTAATGTTCCCGCAACAACCCTTGCGGATGGAATTTCGTAAAATCCGAGATATCGATATGAGTCAGTATGACAGTTGTGGAAATCTCATATTGAATGAATCTCTTATATATATATATATATATGTATGTATATATATATATATATATATATATATATATATATATATATATATATGTGTGTGTGTGTACGAGCATAGAGGCACAGAGCACACACTGACTTATTATAATCCTAACCAACTATCAGAGAAACTGTTGTGATAATTTGACGTGGTTTCAGTTCATCGTATCATTAGTAACAACTCCGCGAGAGCTAGGTGCTTCGAAGGGAACCCGAGATTTTTTTTTTATAGAATTAGCAGTAAGTGGTTACTGTGGCCCATAGACATCTACATCTATCTTCGTTTGCGAATCACTATGCAGATGTGTTGTCAGCCGTGAGGACTAAGATAGAATGCCTCTTTTCCAGTAAGATAGGCCTCCGGTTCTCTACACTCACCATACGAAACACAGCAGCATTAAGCTGCTATTTTACGCTGGTATTCTGTAAGAGCGTGGTCCTTCCCCGGTCAAGCCGACCCATTCGTGCTACAACTATACTATTAATATAGCTGCAGCATGGCTCTACCACGTAAAAGATGGATTGAAATGCAGCTTAGTGTTAGAGGGGCCGCGCTCGCATTTCTTAACGAGATTCCATGACTCCTCGTTGACGCTGAAGACCACCTCCGTGTGGTTTTAGTCGGAAGAGGACCGATAACCTGCCTGCTGCCGAGGTAACAGCAGCCGGGTATCCATGAGGATTTTCCTATGGTAAAAAAACCGGTATATAGTTAGTACCAGATGTAAAACATATTAAGATCGAAAGTAGGGACGGATGCAGGTTGACTAATTAGTAACAACGATACTTTTTATGTGTAATTATTGAAATTGATAGTAACAATTAGTGTTAAAAATCTGATCGATTTTGTAGTCAAAAATCGATGATAATGAATACCCTCCATGTTCAAAAAAATTCCTCTATATACTCCTGAGCCACCTGCATATTTAAATTCATAATTATCATGGATAGTATTCAGAACGAAGAAAGTTATCAAATACACAGTAACTATTATAGTGTCATATGACTGTGTACCTCCATAGTGGCATTACACCGTAGGCGTGGATCAGAAGTGCGGTGGTCTTGTTCTTCAAGAAAGGTGACAATGCTCTCTTGAAGAACTACAAACTGATTTCTCTTCTGAGTCGCGTCTACGTATACGTATATGTAAAATATACGTCCATGTCATACCTATTCTGATTGTTGTTGGGAGCACTAAGCTCGAAGTTGTTGACGAGTATGTTTACCTGGGACAAATAGTCCGACTAGGTAAGTATAACTTCGACCGAGAGGTCAATCGGCGGATTCAACTCAGTTGGACAGCGTTCGGGAAAGTACGGCACATCTTCTCGTCGGGTATACCTCAAAACTTGAAAACGAGACTGTACAACCATTGCGTGTTGCCAGTGATGACCTATGGTACTGAGACGTGGTCCTTCACTGCTGACCGGATGAGGAAGCTCAAGGTCGCTCAGCGAGCTATGGAGAGGGCTATGCTCGGAGTTCCTCTGCGTGATAAACTTAGAAATCAGGATATCCGCAGTAGAACCAGAGTGACGGACATAGCCCAATGGATTAGTAAGCTGAAGTGGCAGTGGGCCGGCCATATAGCTCGAAGAACCGACAACCGATGGGGAAGAAAGGTTCTCGAGTGGCAGCCCCGTACCGGTAGGCGAAGTGTATGGCGTCCCTCCACTAGATGTAGTGACGACCTGGTAAGGTATGCAGGAAGTCGATGGATGCAGGTAGCTCAGGATCGTGCTTTGTGGCATTCCTTGGGGGAGGACTATGTTCAGCAGTGGACTTGTGAAGGGCTGTAATGATGATGATGATAATGTTGACTATGTACAACCCGCATGCAAAAGGTTTGGTCATAACGTCCCACGTCGAAACAAACGTTGCTAGCCGGAAAGCAGCGGACATGGTCGGCAGAAGTAGGAGTGTCATCAGTGTTCCATCAGCAAATCATCTGCGCGCGCCTTATAAGCAAACGTAATATTAAATGCCTCCGGTCTTCAACTGTCGAAAACTTTTTTTTTTATTGTGGGGAAATCCTCATGAATACCTTCTGCTACTAACTAACTTGTGCGATTAATCGTAAATCAACAATTTACGATTTAATCCAATGTTTGCGCCTCAATGGACTTGAATCACGTGGTACCACGACCTCACAGAATACCAGCGTGAAGTAGAGGTTCTCTGCGTTTCGCTTGGTGAGTGCAGGTGGCCGGATGCCCTTTTTACTGGAAATGCGGCATTCCATGTTAGTCCTCACGGGTGACAACGCATCTGCATTTTGATTCGCAAACGAGGATAGATGTAGATGTCTATGGGCCGCAGCAACCACTTACCATCAGGTGGACTGTGTGCTCATTTGTCACCCTTATCCTATAAAAAAAAAACCCTAACCTGACCAACTATTTCAGCTGCTACTATGCCATAAGCTCTTGTGTTTACATTTAATATGCAATACGCAAAGTGTTTTTCTTTTTATTTGTTCATTTACAAAGCAAACCACGTATTCATCTTCTTCATCATACAGTCTATAGTAAGCATGGGTCTCTTCGATGGTAGGAAAGCTTTGTCATAATGGCCAAGTTTCGAAGAACGATTGGCGATCGCGCTACGAAATGTGAAATGTCGATGCGCATCATATTTGACGCCCCTTGTCAGTCCGGATATGGGGCAGTGAATAGATATTCTTACACCGCCACTATACGGCTAATAAAATATATAAGGTCTTTCTATTACAAAGTTTAAATATTTTATTAAACAAAAACTATATAAAAAAAATGTTACTGTAATATAAATGAATACATGGTTGATCATAACCGCTGGTATTGAAATGATCCCTTCTAAGCTGTTTCTTATATACCTAAGTTTTGTAAGTACTTAGTACATTCTTTGTTTTATTGTTTTATTGCAGAATACCAGCGTAAAATAGTAACTTAAAGCTACTGTGTTTATGGTGAATGTGGAGAACCGTTAACTTTTTACTCGTAGAGGCATAATATGCCTATCTAATATCATATTATGATGTTAGAACTCAGTGGAGACAACATTTTATAGAGGATAAATCTAGATGTTTGGCCCACAGCACACACTTACCACCAGATACTGCGTGCTGTGTGATCTTAAAATTGATTATTCCTTAAAAAAATCTCGGGACTGGTTTATGTTTATGCAGATGAAAAAAAAATTATGGCATCATGATTTAAAACGAACGTAACAAAATAACGTGAATTAAATAAAAAGGAGATGAAAAATTTAATAGTAATTTATTCTGACTTATACATAATCGTAATTACCGTACAATACTTAAGCAATAATGACAAACGAACACACAGTCCACCTCATGGTAAGTACATGCTGTAGTCCATAGACATCTACATCTGACCTCGATTAAGAATCAAAATATAGATGTGTTAACACCTGTGAACTAAGATGCCACATAACGACCAAACAAATATGGTGCGTAAGGTCGAGGTATTAAGATGCTTCTCGTTTAAAGGGAAGAACCACGTACCTCCATAGGCTATCAGAACTTCTTACAGTTTTTCTATTTCTTTCTTTTTTATAGAATAATGGTGAAAAAGGGCACGCGGTCCTCCTGATGGTAATTGGACGCTGTGACCCATAGACATCTACATTTATTGTTACATAAATGCTGCAATGGCTGAGTCACCAAGTGGATAGCTAGCTCGATTTTTACTTTTATGTTATATAAGAGTGATTATTTAATATATATTAATCGATTTTTACATGTAAAATACTCTCATCCTTATCTCTATAGAAAGATAAGAATTTTCAAATTACCTGTCAGTCTGAACTGATAACTTAAAAGTTCTTAAAATCTACTTAAAGCATTGAGAGCCGTGGTAGCTCAGATGGTTAGCGCTCGCTGTAAGTTTCACAGTACGTGAGCAAACCCAGGTTCGATCCCCGCCGGCATCAATGAAATTGTTAATTGCAATTTTTAGTGCTGATTTACCACGTGCTCGTCGGTGATGGAAAACTTCGTGAGGAAACCTGCATGTCTGAGAAATAAAAAATATATCTCGAAGACATGTGAAGTTCGCCAACACGCATTGGGGCAGTGCGGCGGACATTTCCTTCTCCTAAAACCCTCTCAGAAACGAGAAGAGGCCTGTGCCCAGCAGTGGGACGTATATAAGCTGCAACTTTACTTAAAGCATTGATTGAAATATACACAAAGAGAGCATCCACGAGAAATTCAGTCCTTGTTCCGTTTTAACGTAGTTTTCTGAATATAAAACTTAATTTTAAGCTAATAAATTAAAAACTGAGTTTAGTTACTTGGCTTATGTTTATATTTATAAGTACATTATTTACAAAACTCTACCAAAACTCAACAAAACAATAACAATTATCTTTAACACTCCCTCAGTGTTTGACTTCGTAGCCGTAGCCCTTGCCCTTGTAAGATCCGATTTTAGAGCCAAAATCTTTGTGTTCATGGTGTTCAGATATTTCTCCTTCTTCAGCTGAGTGTGCGGTGTCGTGAGCATCATCTGACTCTTTCTCGTGTTGTCCTTCTTTTCCCGATTCACTCTCGTGATTTGCTGAGTCGTGAGAGCTTCCTTTCTTATGTTTAGAATCGTTTGATTCATTGTATTTGTATCCATCATCGAACTTATGGAAGCCACCTTTGTGCCCTTCGCCATCATAAAAGTCATGGTCTTTCTTGAATTCATTTTTATCGAAGACTTTGTGAAATCCTTCAACCTTTTCACCTTTGCTGTGTGCTTCTTTATGTCCATGGTCTCCGCCTTTTTCTTCATGACTTTCTGCGTAGTGCTTGCCGTGGTTGTCGGCTTCGTCATACTCCTTCTTGTGACCACCCTTGCCTGATACATAGAAACTTTCATATTTCTCTGTGTGGTAGTCCCCAGCATCTCCTTTCCCATAGTGATTTTTTGTTCCATAACCTTTATATCCCTTACCGCCATATTTATAATGGCCATCAGAACCGTAGTGCTCACCTGCACCATGGTCATGATAAATTCCATCCTCGAAATGACCTAAGCCATGAAGATAATCGGGATAATCTTTCTTATAAGTACCATATTTTTTTCTATAATTTTCATTAGTTATTTCATCTAATAAATGATCATCGTTCTCTTGTTTTTCTTCAACAGGAATCACATACGCTGCGCTAGAATGTGACGCTACTTTAATATCATCTGCTTCATCACTATGGAATGGTCCGGGAACTTCGACGGGCGCTGCAAAAGCTTTCGGTTGATCGTAGAACTTCGACAACTGTTCTAGTATTTCACTTTCATCCATCTTAGTTACACTAGCTAAGCCGTCACTTTGTTTTTTGTAAATATAACCTGTTGCCGCCGGTTGAAGGTCAGATCCAGTAGTGCGGACCATGACCATTCTTTCTACCGTTTCTTGCATCTCCATACAGGAGGCAACAGTCACTATCAGCAACAACGCAATGCGCCGCGCCATGTTATCGACTTCTTTGTCAGTAATGACGATAAACGGCAAGACAAACACTTATATAGTGAACATAATACAGCTTGGTTGACATTCATGAATGACCCGATTCGAGAGCGCTCTCGAGATTGTGCAATGCTCTTCTGTGTCAATGATAATGAAAAACCCTGTGTTATTTGTACGGTGCATTGCCTTTGATAGACTAACAAAAAAGACGTGCCTGCGCGTAATTAGAGCAGGTGTTTTCGATTAATGAAATACTTCATCAAATGCACAAGAGTCGCTGATATGAATAAATTATGTAATCTATATATATAATATATAATCATATATTCTTTTATTTGTTTTTTTATCTGAAACATCGTTAATATACAAATCCTTGACAATTAAATTATCTCTCAAAAATAACGGTAAATTGGAGTTAAAAAATTTGTAAAGCATGATTGTATTTTTAACATTTTACGAATAATAAAGAATAGAATATTTTTAAATCAGCATTGATATAATATTTATATACTTACTTATTTTATTAAAATTAAAAAATCTTCATTATAAAACACTTCATATAGTTAGCTATTATTTTTATTTCTTTTCATACGTCTGATATGTTATGCAAGTGTTTATCCAAACTTTCAAAATTTATGTATATTTATTTTAAGGGACGCTTTTCTAATAGTAAGATTGTAAATTATCAATAAGTCTTATGAATTAATAATGAAATAAATTACTTTATAATTTAGACTTAACATTAAGAATGTTAGTGACAGTTAGTGACAAGAGGCTAGTGACATCGAAAATCTTATAAACATATTAGTAAAAGTATTGTTTTTAATAAATTTAAAATAAATTTAACACCACGGCTTAAATAATATCACAGACCACAGTAATAAATAGCTGGTGTGCCATTTATTTAAACTTGCAACTGTGCCACCCAGTGTGCCTATATAGTCCAGGACGAATCGGCGCATGAGTACCTACCGAAAACTATTCCACCTCAATTTTTTTAATATGCGTTTCTCTTCACATTGTTCCTACTGCTGATATAAATGGATATTGCCATGGGGCAACTCGCTGCCATATTGTTTAGACCCGCCACATACATACGGAATTCCGTTTCGGGATTCCGTTTCGATATTCAGAACGCAGCAAGTTCATATAAAATCTATGACCCGCCACACACGTACGGTAGTTTTCCGTTCGAAATTTTGCGGACAAAACGGAATTCCGTATGTGTGTGGCCGACCCGTTCGGAATTCCGAAACGGAATCCTGAAACGCAAATCCGTATGTATGTGGCGGGCCTAAAACAGAGTTTTTTCAATTGCAAGGAATTATTATTTTCAAAAGTGGCGACGAACACTGAGCGCATTCCGTACGGAATTTACGAATGTGTGTTGCGACTCATACAAAATCTATGGAAGACTTGCGTTCGGAGCGGCTTTTTTCCGTTCGGGATTCCGAACAGACAGGCGGTCATACGGAATCTCGAATCGGAGAAAATTCCGTACGGAAAATTACCGTACGCGTGTGGCAGGTCATAGATTTTCATGGATTTCCTGCGTTCGAAATTCCTAATCGGAATATCGAAACGGAATCTCGAAACAGAAATCCGTATGTGTGTGGCCGGTCTATAAAGAAATCTTTTATATTTTCAAAAGTATCCGAATTTGCATGCGTTTATATCATCAGTAGGGCAATTTGAAGAAAATCGCATAAAAATTAAGGTCTCAATGAGTAGCATCTTCTTCCTGAAAATAACTCGAAATAACGAAAGAAGCTGCAATTGCCAACCCGCCTGCCAAGCATTGCAACTATAGCAAATGTCCCTTACAAGGAGCAATCTATAAAGGAAGGTTATGGTCAGCAGTAGGCTTTTGATAGGCTAAAAGTAATGCACATTTTTACACGTCGTATAGCCTTGCTGCTTCTATATTATAGTTTTAGCACGAATAGGTCGGTTCGACCGGGGAAAGACCACGCTCGTACAGAATACTTACGTGAAATAGCATCTTAATGTTGCTGTGTTTCTTATGGTAAGTGTAGACAATCGGAGACCCTTTTTACTGGAAAGGCATTCCATCTTGCTCCTCAGGGGTGACAAACCATTTGCATTTTGATCCTTAATCGAAGATAGATGTAGATATATAGGCCTCATCATCCAATTATCATCAGGTGGACTGTGTACTTGTCTGTCAAAGATATTTTATAAAAAAGTGTACTTCGTGCATATGCCTGTTGGCTAGCACAATACTACTCACCGCTAACACTGTGCGTTCCCTCTCAATGTCAAGATCATCTTTTATATCACTTGACAGTTGACACCGTATGTTGATGATATTTAAATTTAGAACAGGGAACAATAAATTTAGATTCATGTAGAACAGGGCCTTCGAGCGTAACTGAGGGCTCAGGGATGTATTTTTTTTAAATATTAAATTTATGTACCTTACTTCTGTTAGAGTTATACTTTAAGTCGTGCTCTATCTCATAGTGTTCGCAAATGTCGGTCAGTTCAAGGTCAGGTTGGTTGCAGGGGCAAGTTATGTAGGCAGATAGCTCAGGACCACGCTTTATTGCAATCTATGGGGTTTCTTCCTATCTTTATTAGCATCATCATCATTACAGTCTATCAAAGTACTGCTGGAAATGGGCCTCTGCATATATTACCATATAAGGGGGACGCCTCTACCTATCTAGACTGTTTTCCTCCTTTTGTTTTACTCCCTTAATCCCTTTGTAGAGCAGTGGACTTATGATACGCAGTAAAAATGAATTTTAATAATTTACAATAAAAGATTACAAGCATTTTTATACATTTTTAATGTTTAACATAACAACTGTTTACATAACATTAGTCTACCATTTAATTTCACTTGTAAATGTGTATAAAAGGTAATTCAAATACTACGAACATTAAAATCAAATTAAATGTATTGCAGCACTTGCACAACTATTTTGAATCGTTGAAATATTTAAAATATGTTTGCACTATTTTTTTTAAATGCGTTTAAATGTTGTCCGATTGACGGAATAGATGAGGTACTACCTCATCTACATCCGTAAAGTTTATGATACAGTACTTTATCACCTTTCATAAACTAGTATATTATTACTCGGTAGGTAAGGAACTTATCACTTACTTAACTGCTTTCTATACATAAAAAAAAAGAGATCCATTTAAAAATTCCTAAAATTAGAGAAGTTCTTAACTTTTTTGTGCATTTTAATATTGTTTGAAAATTTCTTGTAATTGTTTTGGCTTTTTTCTATTTCGTTTTCGGCATTCATCGCAGCTTCTCTTTCCTTATACAAATTATTTGTACGTTCATTTTGTGAGCCCAAAAACATATAACCATCCTGTTGGTCAGTTATATCCGGACTCATTCTGTAGAAAACTGCGTAAGGACTATTGGTCACTTCAGTGTTGTCGTCAACAATGTTCGCAATAATTGCTTGGTCGATTGGTCCTTGATTCATTGCAATCAAATTATCGGATATAGTGTAATACTTATTCTTATCTAAAAACATATCGACATCTTCGTTTGCACTTGTATCTCTTTTCCTTCCAGTCTTTTGCTGAATTTTATCTGGTAGATTGTCATTAAAAATCCTTCTGACGTTTGGTACATGTTTGTCGTTAGTTAGTGATCTGTGAATGGTTTTATTGAATTTCGATGGTGATTGCAGTTTGTGATGAAAACCTTGCGATCTGTTTGCCAACAAAGAACTTCTGTGACGGTGGTTCTGTCTGCTTACAAGTCTTTGACCGTCTTCATGTTGATGAACTTTAGTATTCAATGCATCTTTTATTTTGTGATGATATAGTTTTGCATTCGATTGTCGGTGATCACCTTCGTATGTGCCGTCTGTGGTAAGTTTTTTAGTTTCACTAGTGATAATTGTCGATTTTACACTTAATGGAATGACTGTGCTCATTCTAACTTTCACAAACTTTTTCGAAGTTGGGTTTTTGGTTTCTGAAATTGTTATATCCATGTTACGATTTGGCGGTATGGTGTTCTTTTGTATCTTGCGTATTTCTTCACGTGCGTTTACAGCAGGTATTAGCGAATTGGCGAATCCCGATGATTTAATAACTCTGAAATGAGAATCTACTGATCGTTCGTTTGCCATTTTTTGATACTTCGGATTTCCGTTACTTGTTAAATATTTTTTGTGACCATTAACTTTACTCCTCGAGAAAGAGCCGATGTTGTCGTGTGCCGGTAGAAACCCTCGTATGTTCGCAACATCGTCGTATATGTAATTCGTGAATACTGGTGAAATATAATTTAAACACAAAAACGTACTAATAAATTTAAATGCTATCTTCATGTTGTCTGATGTCGGACTGGCGAAAGACGTTCGCTAAATCGATGTTACAAAATTTATTACACTCGTTTTGTTTGTGTTGAAGCTATTTGTTGACCCATTCGACTGTAAGCAAATAAACATTGTAAGCTGAGAACGTCATTCATGTATCCATAATTTTACCTTTACTGTATAATGAAGACAACATTTCATTGCTTTGTTTATAAATATGTATACGAGTATGTTGTTGTTACGTTTTAAGGAATTTTAAGTACGTATTACTTAAAATTTCTGACATAATTCATCATCATTACAACCCTTCACAAGTCCACCGCTGATCATAAACCTCCCCCAAGGAATGCCACAAAGCACGGTCCTGAGTCACCTTCATCCATCGGCTTCCTACATGTCTTACCAGGTCGTCACTCCATTTAGTGAGTGGAACGACACTTCTCCTGCCGGTACGAGGCTGCCACTAGAGAACTTTTCTTCCCCATCGGTTGTCGGCTCTTTGAGCTATATGGCCGGCCCATTGCCACTTCAGCCTTAATTATCAGTTGAGCTGTGTCGGTTCATCTGGTTCTACTGCAGATATCCTCGTTTTTAAGTCTATCACGCACAGAAACCCTGAGCATAACCCTCTCCACAGCTCGCTGAGCGACCTTGAGCTTCCTGAACGGCCAGCAGTGAAAGACCACGTCT